AGCGAGGGAAGAGTCCTGCTGGAGAGGGTGGAATAACAGCGGAGGAGATGGAGGGGGATTGGGGTGCGAGAGGGGAGCGTTTCTCCCATGGTTACACACAAGGGAGAGGAAAAGGGGACTCACTCCATTGCAAGCCTGGCCAGGGAGTATCAGATCGAGATGCAAACTGGAGGGAAGCAGCACAGTGGGGTGTGCATGAGGCAGGGACCACATCCTCACACATCGTGCCTATCCAAGGCCAGAGCGGAGTCATCCTAGTGCTGCACTTCACAACATCCTCATGTGAGGATGGACATGAAAAGGGTTTCAGGAAGATGCAGGATCAGGGGCAGGATGAGCTTTTCTCCCAAGTCCTATGGAGACAGAGCCCCCTCTGTCTCACATCAGGCCAGGACAATACCCAGCAGGCAGGAAAACCATGGCAATAGGCGTCTTCCTCACACAGGCTTCTCAGCCTGGTTTTGGCCAAACAATGGGCTGGAATGTTTCATACAGGCTCCCAAAAGAAACCCACAGAAACAGAACCCTGTGTGCCCACCCCGAGAAGGGAAAGGGAGAGCAGGGAAGACCCCACATGTGATGGTCGCAGCTACCTAAACCCCTGTCCCAAAGGGCAAATGCTCTGGTGAGGACATCAGAGAGAATGGGAATGAAATAAATCCTAATAAACTGTGCAGCAAAGCTCTTAGTGCAGCCAGGGAGGGAGAAAGGGGGATGGAGAGATTGGGATTTTTAAGGATGGCTTAATGGATGGGAAAGGGGTTGGTGGTCGGCTTTCACGTCTACCTGCTTGCAAAGCAGAAAGGCTCTGCTGATTTTGGATGGATCTCCAGCCTCCAGCCAGGGGGTGGGTGACCTGCCATTCCCTACAGAGCATGGGATGGTTTATTGGTCTTTTCTGGAAGCATCTCTACCCAACCCATGGCTCCTGGCAAGGACACAAAGCCCAGCAGACCCCAGGGTCAAGCTGCACACAGTCACTCAGCCAGTGCAGGGTTAAATCCAGTTAATCCTAGGGATTTATTCCAGATTAACCCTGGGAATTGAGAGCAGTGCTTGGCCCTGTGTGACAGGGTCGGGTTTGCAATGGCAGAAGGAACCAAGCATTACCCGCTTGGGTTGGGGCACAGATCTGGGTGGGAGAGTTGCTGAGGCCAGAAGTTAGGGGATGTAATACAGGGAGACAGAGCTGCTGAAGCAGGCTGGGAAAAGGAACTGTATTCAATCATCTGCTTTACTTAGTTCATAGCCGAGGAAATTCATCTATTCCTTGGACCCATTTGTGCTGTGTTGTCACGAGGCAAAGAAACTGTCAGAGAGAATAAAAAGGGTGATGCCGAGCTGCAAACTGCCTTAAAATGCTGCACCCAGGTAGGAAGAATAAAGCCATGATTTAGGGAAAAGAGCTCCACGGCTTTCCCAAAGCCAAGGATGTGGTTTGATCTCTCTTCAGCGGGATTAGGAAGGCATTAACAGGAATGACAACTTGATGGGGTTTAGCAAAGCGTCGTGACACTGTGACACCAGCTTTCCCTAAAACACTGCGTTTAGGTGCACGTACACAGAAAGACACGTACATACGTGTCAGTAGGCACAGGAGGGAAGACTGTAGGAACGCAGGTGTCATTGGAAAAGCGTGAGCATGGGGTTGAACTGTCCCAGGAAGGGCTACAGAAACGAACCTGAATAATTCCATCAACACGAAGGAGTTTGCTGTCGGGATGTTGCTGCTGGGGGTACACAGCAACAGGGCTCGGGCCCCCTGCCACCCCCTAAATCACAGTGAGAAATGCAGGGTGGTTCCCAGCACACATCCACCCCGTGGAAAACAGTTTCTGGAGTGCGGGATCTGTCTCATGGAGCTTCTTTTACATGAAAACCCCACTGCAACAGTGAGAGGATTTGATTGCACCGAAGAGACTGGGGCTGGATGCAGCTCCCAGTGCTGCTGGGTAGAAATAGTCAATAATAATAGTGGTAGTAATAATAGTAGTAGTAGTAGCAATAGTAATAATAAATAATAATAACATAACCACAATAATCATAATTATAACAATAATAATAATAGTGCAGTGGGAAAAGGCTCATCTCGAGCTGATCATTGAGGCAGATTAATGCAACTGTGATGTAGCCTTGGGGTGGGCTTGGGGAGGTTTTGGGCTGGGGAAATCCCATATCTTTGAGGCATCACACAGCACCTTAGTGAGACCCACGGGTAATTTGCTCAGAGAGCCTGCTCAAGAGGTGCCTTAACAGCCATTTTACCATCTTCCTCTTATGCAAAGCCTACTGAGTTAGATTAAATAAATGCTGCTTTTAGAGAACCAAGGGTGATGTATGGGCTGTCTTAAGGATGCGGGTGTTTACTGCAACTTTCCTTAGCCCGTAGCTGTATTTGACTGGTAAAGTGTGAGTTAACCCCCATCCAGTTAATCCATGAATATCTTGAAGGAACTCAGTTATTTCACGTTAGAGTCGGGCTGATACGACCATTCCCTGAGCTGGGCAGCGGGATGGACCAGAGGCACACAGATCTTTCTGTGAGCTTCCCTTGCTGTGTGATGATGGATAAATTGAGGCCGTGATACTTGAATTAAAAAGTTCAAAAACCAGGATGTAAGAGGAAGATGGAAATGACAGGAAGCAGGTTGCATCATTGGAGTCTGCCAAGTCAATGACTCAGGCTTGTTTCAGAAACCCTGAGCATGATTTAGGCTTCCTTGCCGGGATATGTCAGGGTCGGAATCCTGTCCATAACCCCTGCTTTGCTGCATGGAGAACATGGGAAGCTGCAGCCTTCCCCAGCCAGCACCAAATGATGGTCATGACCATGACAAGTAGATACGCTGCACCTGACACGAGTGGGATATGGATGCAAATGGAAATCAGGACCTGTATTGCTCCAGGCCCTGGCGTGGTGCTTCCCTGCACAGGGGAGCCAGGAAGAAATGCTGGTGGGGGATCAGTTCTGGGAATGGAATTGGGTGTGCTGCACCCTGCCTGCCATCAGCCTGTGCAAAGCCTGCGGTCAGCCCGCTGCCTGCCGGATCCCTGCCCGATCCCTGCCCGCACTCAGCCCGCACCCTCTCTAGATGCTGCCCGCACTTATCCCGTCCTTATCCCGCTCTCATCCCGTCCCCATCCCGCCCCGTGCTCCCCCCTCCGCCCCGGGCAGGCTCGGGCTGGTGCTGCCCCCTGCCGGCGCCACCCGCACCCTGCAGCGGGCCCGGGCCGCGGTTGCCGCGGTAACGGCGGTGGCGGGGGGGGGCAGCGGCCTGGGCGAGGGGGACACGACCGGGGGGGACCGATCCTGGCTCCGCCGCTGGGGCTCATCCGGAGGTCGGGGCAGAGCCATGGCGGGAGCGGGGCAGCAGAGCGGGGTTTACGGCTCTGTCTGGACGGGAGAAGCGGCTCGGAGCATCCCCGCTCCCCGCCATAGGAATTCCCTCTGCACCGGGGATGCGGAATCATCCCAGTGCCGCCTCCTGGGCGCTGGGAGCCCGCTGTCCCCCGGCCGATGCGCTGCGAGCGGCTGCTCCGTGCCCTGGCGCAAAGCGGGTGCCTGCGCCAGCATCCCCCTTCCCGCAGCCTGATCAGGATTCACCTCGCATCCAGGCGGAGCAGGGCCGCGTCTCCCGGCATGCACCCGCCCGAAACTGCAGCCCCGTGGCTCGCTGCAGCGGCCATCTGGTCGGAAAACAAGAGGCCAAACGGCTTCAGCATCGCGACATGTGTCCGCCAGCGGGGAGGAAAAGAGGGGGGACACGCAGAAATGCCGGGGAGAAGGACGGCGCTTGGCGCGGTGGGACGTGCGGGAGGGACGTGAGATGCGGTTGCAGCAGCATCCCCTGCGCTGCGGGATGCTGCTGGGGATGCGCCCTCCTCCCATCACTCATCCCAGAGAAGCGTTGCGGCTCTCAAGGATTTCCCCCTCATAAATTAGTATCTTCCAGCTGTTTCCTTCCACATAAAAATCTCTATTTCTTCTCTTAGTGCTTTATATAAACAAACATGAGAGCGGCTCGGTCTAAATAAAGTTATTTGTCTACGTAAATTAATATATCATATTCTCTCCTGAAATATAGAGAGCTATTTGTCTCCAGAGAAATCATGTTGAGTGACATAGTATAACCCTATTCATTTGCATATGCAGATATGTCTAATTATTCAACTTGCAATTAAAGGCTTGTGTGTCAGCAAATGAGACTAATTAGAATCACAGAATCATAGAATTGGTTAGGTTGGAAAAGACCTTTAAGATCATTGAGTCCAACCATTAACCCAGCACTGCCAAATCTACCATTAAACCGTGTCCCCAAGAGCCACATCTACACGTCCTTTAAATACCCCAAGGGACAGTAATGCCACCACTGCCCTGGGCAGCCTGTTCCAATGCTTGGGGAAGAAATGTTCCTAATATCCAATCTAATCCTCCCCTGGTGCAACTTGAGGCTGTCTCCTCTTGTCCCTTCACCTTCTCTGGATCCCCTGCAGCACCTCAATGTCTTTTCTTGTAGTGAAGGACCCAAAATTGAACACAGCATTCGAGGAGCAGCCTCACCAGTGCCCAGTACAGGGGAACCATCACTGCCCTCGTCCTGGTGGCCACATTATTGCTGATACAGGCCAGGATGCTGTTGGCCATCTGGTCACACTGACAGCTCATATCCAGCCAGTGTTAATCAATACCTCCAGGTCCAAATATTCCCCAGTCCCTTGTGTCTCTCCCTCCTGTAACTGTCCCAGGTTAACTTATCCAGCTCAAATCAGGCCAGGTGAATCCTGGAAATGTCTGAATTAGAAACAAAACTATTTGCTTTTGGAAATCACTGAAACAAGACCTTTTAGCTTCGAAACTTCAGGCTCGACTTGTTCTATTACACTGGAAGCGATCCTCAACTCGTTCATCACAGTGTTATTCACCGAATGATATGAACAACATTTATCATGGTCACTCACAACGATATTTTCCCAATCTGCACATTACAAATCAAAACAAATGCGTGTGCAGATCACTGGTTTATTTCCAAAACCACATTAATCCCAGCAGAGCCACGGCCAATTTTTCACAGGTTAATGCAGAGTTACAAGCAGGAATTATATTTAGGAAAAGTCAAAATTGCCTCATTTTGACGATTTTCAACCCAATACCTTTTTCTTTTCTGATTTCAGGCCTCCAGCGAGGGGGTTCCTCTGTGTAACTTTAGCCATTGAAACTGCAGACTAGATCCAATGACCCATGTGGACAAATGGCATATCCCTCCCTCACATTCCTGATGACTGCCTTCCAATGAGAGAAGCTGTTGTCTGGATGCACCCCAATTTTATTTAGAAATAACCTGGGATTTAAAACAAAAGAAAGGGAAATAAAACAGCATCATTGATGCAAAACAATGGCCTGTGCCATTCTTCTGTTTTCTTTCAGTGAAAGGAAAAGGAAAAGAAAGACAATTATTTCTAGGTAATCCAAATATGTTGGAAGTTTCTTCTATCTCTCTATGGGGGGAGAGAAACAGGAGGAGAGTAAGTGAGGGGGAGAAAATCCCTCTGCAGAAGCAGCCTTCTGAAAGTGTGTTTTAGAATCAGCATTCTGCATATTCTATCTGTTCCAAAACTTCTAAGGGTGAAAAAGCACCAGCACAAAACTATTGGAGCACTTTATCGGTCCACAAATCTGGGTGAGAGAACTAGGGATCTTCACCTCTCCGAGAACCCGGCATCCCTCTTAGGACCCTAAATAAGAGCTTTACTCTCATGGGAGCTCAAACTCATTTGCTCTCATCGTGGTGCTTATGGCACCTTTCAAAGCCCGGTGGCTCTGGGCACTTGGAGGCTAGAAACGTCCTTTTTGTTCCATGCTTCTTCATTACCCAGGTCAGTGGGATCTCATCCATCACTCCGTCTCTTAATGCTTTTACAGTAATAGCTGCCCTTTTCCCTCTTTAACACATACCCTGTAAATGGAAATCAGGCCACAAACAGAGCTGTTGGTCCTGGCCAGGCTCCTGTTGCCTTTTGCATCCTGCATCCAGCTGAAACACAGTGGGGTTAAATCATGTTTAGCACCTAGGGATCAGCGACAGGAGTAAATAAGTATTCCATAACCTTCCCCAAAAAGCATAACAAAATAATAACAGGAAAATGAGGTTAAGTGGAACCATCTCAATAATGTTATAGCCCTGCTTTCAATCAATGAACGCTGGGAAATTCAATGTCTTCAGAGGCAGTGAGTCCATTTTCGCTCTCTCCGCTGCCGAACTTCTCCTCACAAAGCAATGAGTTAAAGTCTTAGAGCAGATCCATAATACATCTGAAAGGGACTTTTTGTGTTTCATATTCACTGGAATGGGTGACTTTGCTGGGTTTGGTTATCGAGAGGAATAATAGTTTTCAGTTTCATTGAAGCAGAAGATATAATTCTATTATCTCTTTTTTTCTTTTTTTTTTTGGATAAAATAATCTGGAAGAAGCAGAGCAAAATGGGAGAAGAAATAATTCCATAGACCCTGTTAATTATGTATCCATTGTATAAAATAGCAATAAGAGCATCATAAGTTTTCATTGAATAGGGAGGGCGATATTTGCAATCTTGTCCTGTCAAGTAAGAAATGGCTTTAAAAACTCTGCTTATTCTATTTCAATAATTCTAACTAATTTTGGAGCAATCAACATTAAATTTTGGTGCCTATTAAGTAGGAATCTGACACTTTTGCCATTTTGGATCCATTTGCGCATTGCTCCACACACAATAAACCTGAGTTCTGGCCCTGCAACTTCAGGGATTTAGAAGTTAGATGCCTGCTCTAAATTAGGTGCCTGAGCAATACAGCTTAGGGACGGGGACCTCAGGCTCGTACTCACTGCACAGCTTTGCCACCAAGCCACTCTGGTTCCCAGCCCTGGTGCAGCACAACTGCATCACCATATTTTAAATGGATATAATTGAAGGAGGTGCCATTCTGTTCACCCTGCAGGGAGCAGCCGATCCAGCACTGATCCTCATTGCAGAGTTCAGGCTGGAAATTAACTAAGTCCAAGAAATTGCCAGTGTTTCATCTGAAATGCAAAGCCCAGTGAGCTCTTCAGGCAGCAGGTTCAGGGAGCAGATGGGCTGTTTTCTTCTCTGCTTTCCCGCATAACACACCCATCGTGAAGATGCTCTCAATGATCAAGCCTAGCCGGTGCACTGGGTAGCTCGGAGACACCTCAGCTTGTCCCCATCTCATGCGCCTGTCAAGGAATGCCGTGCCTCACGTTATGGGAACCCCCCCTGCAGACAGAGAGAGCTGTTTTCCCATTCCAACGAAACCTAACAGCAAAGCCATGCTGCCAAACGCAGAGCAAGAAGGTTTGAGCCTTGCAGAGGTGCAGTGCTGGGAAGGAAGCACGGACAACATGATAAAGAGCTTGAGAAGAAGGAGAAAAGCTGCTGCTGCTGCAGCTTTAAATTAAAATGCTGCATCAGCCAGTCCCTCAGGACTTGATAGAAATCTAATTAGTCAGACAATCTGGCACCAAATGTCCTAATTTCCCCAATCCATGTGGGATTTGTGCATTCTCTTATTCACTGCAGTTCTAAATTTCAACCGGAGCCTTTCTAACCCCTCTCTTTCTCCTGGGCCGACATGGGACTCGGGAGAAGGTGATCCCTATCAAAACCTAATTGTTTTTCATAAACCTTTAATTAATTAGACTCCAGTTCATGAAAGACACTTAAAATATTAACAGTTTGTTTAGAGACAAGCGCTGGGCGAGGATTGCTGCTGGATTTTCACAAGGAACCCAAGTGTAATTAATGTGCATGGGCTTACTCTCAGACTGTGAGGTCCGGAGTCCTCCCTGGAATGTGCTGGGAGCAGAGGGAGGACCATGGCCAAGGCCAGCATGCAGCCAGCCCAGGATGGAGCATGGGTCCCCTGCAGCCAAGGGCTAAGGGCAGCAAGCCCTGGGGTGGTGTGTACTTAAGAAGAGCTCCACAAAGCAGTGGAGTCCCCCCAGGTTGGGTCTATGGGGCACACTGAGAACAGCAAACTCATAATGCAATTAGCCCTCTCCTAGGGGACCACAAGCTCTGGGAGCAAGGTGCTGAGCATCCCTGAATCCCCCTGGCACCCTTGGAGTGAGGATCTCCGCTCACACAGGATTAAGCCATTTGGGAGTAACAGATTTGGGTTTTTTCTTCCTATGACCTGTCGTGTCAAAGCCTTTTCTTAAAGCCTCTTAATCCCCAGATTATCACCACAAAAGTTCCTCAGCCCCATCCCAGATAAGGCAGGGTCCATTGTGGAGATGCACACTGGAGGAGTTTCAATCTGCAAATTATTGGCATGCAAGACCACGAGGGGCTGCTTTGCTGCGTTGCCCATTGCGTCAAGGGGAATTGAATATGTATAAAGAAGACTTCAAATGGGCCATGCACTGTGCTCCTCCCCTGCATGTGCAATTCCCAAGTGGCCAAGGGGCCCTGATGAAAGGAAACAACCCTGCCATGCAGATACCACATACATGTGGAGTCTCCCAGCAGCCATGCAGCCCTCATGGAAAGGTGAGCCCAGCTAGGGAGAAGGGATTGGTTCCCTTTTCCAAACACCCCATTTCATCCCAATGGGACCCATGATTTGATTTTTAAGGGAGGAATGACAAGAACAGGAAGGCAGAGCTGGTGATGGAAACTCTGTTTCTCTCCCAAATCCCGGGGGAGGACAGCAAACAGATAAAGTCCGTGCTAGGGATCCTTCGCTGACACAAAGTATGCCATGTGGAGCGCAGGCTTATGCTGTATACAAAACTAATTAGCAGTTACCTTCCGGATGAAGGAACAACTCAAGCATCTGTTTCACTGAAGTGGTTGTAGGAAAAGAGACAGCCCTCATTGGAACAGCCTTATGGGTTTGCAAATGTCATTGCTTGGGTCTGGGGGCTCCCCAGATCAGAGCCCCGGAGAGACCATCCCCTCCACAGGCTGGTGATGAGTGAAGCAGGATGTGCCCTCTCTTCTCCCCTGCCGTGTTTGTACAAGCACCTCGTTGCACCTCCCTGCAAAGGCCACCGAACAAAAATTAACAGGGAGATGCTGTATAAACATGTGTTGATTGGGAGCATCACAAGTGTGAGCAGGGAGGGCTCTCAGCAGAGCCCATGGCACTGAGCTCCTGCTCAGCATGTGGGAGGTAGGTTACATATCCACATATTTATATATACTCATGCACACTGCAAGATGACCAGCTCCACCAGCTCTCCCTAGCCTAGATACTGCTATATAAAGCCAAATCCTGGCTATCACTCACAGAGATGCTGAGCCCCACTTGTTCCTACTGAGATCCCAGCTCTGGGTCAAGCTCCCAGCATCCATCAGGACAGATCAGTCTCAGCCCTCAGCAGCAATTTGGAGACCTTCTCTGTCAGCAGATGGGGCTGAGGATAGCCCAGGACATGGCTTGGCTCTCAGTGTGTAACCTCTCATTGCTTGCTAAGTGAGGGTGTCACCCAGTCGCTGGGGATCTGGCTCAGGATCTGCAGACCTGGACTCAGCTCCGGCTCTGTTGCAGCGTTCCCTATGACCTTGGGCCAGCTGCTTGGGTTTCCTCCATACCTGTTTCCCATCTGCTGGAAAATGACTGAGTATATTAAAGGGTTTGTATGAAAATAAGTAAACTGCGAGGCTATTCTTAGCACTGAGAGGGCCTAAATATTCCTATTTTCTGTAACAGCTCAAGAACTCCAGCATTAGGCACAAAAAGTGTTGGGAAAACAGCGCATTGCCTTTCAGGGGCCTCCTCTTAAAGGAGGGAGATGTGTCTTCCCTTGGAGCCAGCTCTTCATGCATTTTATGAAATGGCAATGCCCACATTTTCCCTAACAGCCCTCATTCCAGCACATGAAATGGCCCCAAGTAGCCTTTGGCTCATGGAAACCTTCCAGTGTGCTTAATATTACTTGCAATGCCCATATTAATCATAGCACGCAGGTGCCAGAGCCACCGGAGGGAAGGAGAAGGGACAGGCCAGGTAATTTATCGCTCTACAGCCCCAGCATGAGCTGTTGCATTAGTTCAAAATGACTTTGCTTTCAGGTTCCCCAAGTTCCCAGGATACAGGAGAGGAGAGGGGGTTATCCATGAATCATCCGTCATCTCCCCAGCTTTCGGCTACAACCTTGTTGTGACGTGTGGAAAAAACTGGGATTATAAATAAAGTGTGGGGGTGGGGAAGTGACTAATTGAGTGCAGTAATTAAACACAGCCCCCAAAAAAGCTGAGCGTGTGGCTTCAGCCATCAGCACCCTGAGCGTGGGGCGAGAATGCCCCCAGGATTTGCTCAGTGGAAGGAGCAGCATCATC